GAGAGAGAGAGAGAGAGAGAGAGAGAGAGAGAGAGAGAGAGAGAGAGAGAGGGGGGGAGAGAAAGACTTTTAAGTGAAATAAGAAAAGAGCACATTAATTTCCTTTATTGACTGTCGTACACAGTGTCGTTATAATGCTATAAAAATACACACTGCAGGAAATTGATAGTGGCCATTTGTCTAAGTGATTGTCTTGTACAGATGGCCGTAAAGAGCAGGTTTGACTCTAGTCTACAAAATAGCTTGTGCTCATTGAATGAATAAAGGTCACCCCCTCCCTTTCCAACCCCCCCCCTTCCCCACCTAAAAAGCAAAACAAAAAGAACCCAAACAAACAATTACAAAAATAAGCAAACAAACAAACAAACAACAACAAAAAACCCGGAAGAAACAAACGCAGAAAAAAGCCAAACAAAACAAAACCAAATTGAAAGAGAGTCACAAATTATGCCTCGTCCCCACAGGGTGCTGAGTATATTGTGTCTCTACTCGGCACCGTTCTCGGCATATTTATTGCTGTCTTCCTGTTTGTCCCACTGCTCTACCCTCTCAAGATGACCAGCGCATTCGAGGTACAGTAAACTGTTTGTGGTGTTGGTGAAATTCGATTCGATTCGATTATATCAAGTTAGATTGAATTAGAATAGATTCGATTCGATTCGATTCGATTCGATTAGATTAGAGTAGATTAGATTACAGTTTTACACAGTTCGATCAAACAAATGCTGCCCATCAGAGGTGTTATCAGAGAGTAGCACACACTTAAAAGAATGAGGGGAAGTGATATATTTTCTCTCTTTACCTTGTAAGATACTATTGATTTTTAAAAAGTTTTATGACATAGAGAATTAGAATTAGCGACCATTTAACGTGAGGGAAGATAGATAGATAGATATATAGATAAATAGATAGATAGATAGATAGATAGATAGATAGATAGATAGATAGATAGATAGATCGATAGATCGATAGATCGATAGATCGATAGATCGATAGATCGATAGATCGATAGATAGATAGATAGATAGATAGATAGATAGATAGATAGATAGATAGATAGATAGATAGATAGATAGATAGATAGATATTTTATGCATTCTTATTTTTTCTCAGTACTTGGAAAGACGATTTAACTCCAAACTGACTCGACTTATTGGAACGTTCATCATGATCATCACACAGGTGCGTACAACCTCTTAACTCTTCGTAAAATATTATACGGAATACTGTTCCTGTTATGTGCCAAGCCAATCTTGTCATCGCTGAACCCCCCCCCCCCCCCCCCCG